TATGTGGAGGCCAAGTGAACGTCCACAAAGGAAACTGTGAACGTGAAAATATTTTTATGTTCTTTCCAAATTGTTTCTAGAAATGACATTTCTGTTGTGTTGGAACTAGTTATATTGAGAGAAGTGAGTAAGTGAATGAGTGTGTGTGTGTGTGTGTGTGTGTGTGTGTGTGTGTGTGTGTGTGTGTGTGTGTGTGTGTGTGTGCATGCGAGTGCGTGCGAGTGTGTGTGTGTGTGTGTGTGTGTGTATGTGTTTGTATGTGTGTGTGCGAGTGCGTGCGAGTGCGAGTGTGTGTGCGAGTGCGAGTGCGTGTGTGTGTGTGTACTTCAGACCTGATCGCAGCTAAAATAAAACTGAAAAGATGCCTTTATTTTTATCTTAAAGATGAAAATACTAACGTAGCACACAAGTAAACCATTATCTCGAGGCGAAGGGAATGAAAAAAAGAGAAAGCCTTTCTACAGAATTATAAAATCAGCTGATGAATGAACAAACAAACCTGCCGCAACATTTAACAAGCACCTAACAAACAAACAAACAAACAAACAAACTTATAGAAACTGTAATTCATAAAGACTAACCTACAATATTGTTCAATATTTCCCGGTACATTCCTTCCGTCCCAGAAATCGTCTTCCTTCTGTCTCCCTCTTATCTCTTCCCTCCCAGAAATCGTCTTCCTTCTGTCTCCCTCTTCTCTCTTCCGTCCCCTTTTCACAGCCCCTTCACTCTTGCCCTATCCGTGGCTGGGCAATTCCCTAGCGCCGTGTCCTTACGGGGTCTATTCCTTTACCCATGTCAAGGATGTCCACAAGGATCGATGAGGGAGAGGGGGAAGGTAGGTGGGAAGGGAGGGAGGGAGGGAGGGAGGGAGGGAGGGAGGGAGGGAGGGAGGAAGGAAGGAAGGAAGGTAGGAAGGGAGGGGGGGAAGGGAGGAAGGGAGGAAGGGAAGGGGGGAAAGGGAGGAAGGCCGCTGAGGGAGAATAGAAAAGGTTGGTATTTTCATGCTCGGGGTCTGTGGGAGAGTGGGGGAGGTATGGGTAGGGATGTTGGGGAGAGGGGGCCGTTCTCGTCCATTCGTCTGGAGTGGGCGGGCCTGGCTGGGCTGTCACGCCTTACCTCCGTTGCCTTTTCATTCTTTTATTTACTTTCATTGAGTTTTTCGTATCACTGTGCTCGTTTTTTTCATGCTAATTTAAAGTCGTTTTTTGTTTATTTGTATGCACTGTATAATTGTTATTGGCTTGTATACTCTAGTATATTTCTCGTAACATCAGTCGATTTATTAACTTTGTAAATCGCGTGTATTTCTTCCCTCCTTTTCTTACGTTATTCATGTAGGCCTATTGTGTAATTTGATCATTATTATTGTACCAGTTACAACAAATGGTAATTTTAATTTCGTCCTCTCTGGATGTCTCTCGGAGATACTTATCCATGTCTTCTTAATTTTCCGCGGTTGTTTTGGCGCTGTTTTGATTGTGTTGTTGTTTGTCACGCTCAGATTTATTTTGTTATTGTCGTCGTGTATTGGCTTTGTTTTTCTTAATCAGCTAGTCCCAGTACCGATAAATATGAATGTACATCGATTCGCTATTAAATATTCAGTGAGATTTTTTTCCCTCTTTCAAAAATATATTTTAGCGGATATTCTGCTTTGTAGCCCTCCCCCCAAAAAAGTACACAAATCGCCCCAGCGGAACCTGTCGAGGAAAAAAGAGCATGTCTTACCTTTCAAACAGCATGATCTCTTTTTTTACCGTTCAGAAAGAGAGTTAAAAAGGGAGAAGGAAACGCACGAAGACACGTCAGCGGAAATACTACACGTATCCCGTCACACAAGCTAGAGGTTTGTTAAAGATTCCATGGGTCTCTCGAGGCGGAGTCATCACGCCAGCGACGAAGACCTGGCTCTGTGCGTCACCTGGGCTGCGGCCGCTCGGGCGTGGCGCCGGATGAATGTATTTGGATAGTTGTGCAGGTTACGTTAGTCCTTTTATCTATATATATATGTATCTCGTGTGCAAAATTGTCTATACTTATGTCTGTGTCTGTATTAGTATCTATATCTATAGTTGTTTATTTTATCTACATTAATATTTATATCTATATACATTTCTCTCTCTTTATATATATATATATATATATATATATATATATATATATATATATATATATATATATATATATATATATATATATGTATATATGTATATATGTATATATGTATATATGTATATATGTATGTATGTATATATGTATGTATGTATATATTGTATGTATGTATATATTGTATGTATGTATATATTGTATGTATGTATATATTGTATGTATGTATATATTGTATGTATGTATATATTGTATGTATGTATATATTGTATGTATGTATATATTGTATGTATGTATATATTGTATGTATGTATATATTGTATGTATGTATATATTATATGTATGTATATATTATATGTATGTATATATTATATGTATGTATATATTATATGTATGTATATATTATATGTATGTATATATTATATGTATGTATATATTATATGTATGTATATATTATATGTATGTATGTATGCATGCAGTGTGCGTGTGCGTGTGCGTATGTGCACACACACATACACAATATATATATATATATATATATATATATATATATATATATATATATATATATATATACATATACATATATACATACTTATATATATACACTTATATATATGATTTATTTATTTACACTCACTCACACGTCCACTCACTCACATTCATATTTACACTTTCACTTACTTTCGCTCTCAACAACAATGCTGCTTTAGTAATATGCAAATTATTTTAACCCAAGTTCATTTCAACTCCAGTTAAACCGAGTTTGTTGTACAAACATCCACTGCATCCCATTCTGCCATACAAAAAATACGATATCCTCTCAATCATCCAAACGTATCGACGACCCCAACGATTAACGGGAAAAAAAAGGAGGAAGAAAATTGAGGCCAAGGATTTTTTTCCTTTTTTTCCCTCTTTTTTTTCTCTTTATTTTATATAGAATGTTGCGGTGATGTAGGAGTAGGGGCAAGGGATAGGGGTGGGGCCGGGATTGGGGTAGGGGGTTGCGAGAGAGGGGGGGGAGGGGAGGGTAAGATGGTGATTTTATCCAAGAACAGGAAAAGGGATTTAGAGGAGAGAAGGTGGAATTGGGGAATGCAGGAGGGACAGAGAGCGCTTGGTCTCGACAGGGGAATTAACATATCAAGAGAGAGGGAGAGAGAGAAACAGGAAAAGATACAGAAAAGGGAAGGATGGGGAGAGAGAGAGAGAGATAGAGAGAGAGAGAGAGAGAGCGAAAGGATAAAAGGCTAAAGAAGAGATTGTAGATAGGAAAGAGAGGAGAGAGAAAAAAGCGAGCAGAAAGAGAAAAGGTGGAGAAGAGGGAGAACGGGAAGGAGAGAAAGAGAGAGAGATAGAAAGAAGAGGAAGAGGGAAAGATGGACGTCGAAGACACCTTTCAAGCAATGAGAACTACATTTTCCGTCTTGTAAGGAGAGAAAAAATAATGTTATTTAATTCGGCATGACAAGATTTTTTTTATTCAAGATATCAATTCAAATCTATGTGCCTTTATAAAAAAAAGGACAAGGAGTAGGTAAAGCGTGAGAGACCATAGAGGAGGAAGATAAAAAGAGGAGACAGAAAGAAGACAAGAGACGGAAAAATGAATTCAGAAAAGCGCATTGATATATGTAGAGCTACGGACAAACAAACAGACAGTTAAAAAACGTAGAGGCCGGGTGAGGGAGATTGATGACTGACGGAAAGTGAAAGCCGAGAGAAAAGTGAGACTAGTGAAGGGAGATCAGTGATGGATTGGAGAAAAGAAATCCTAAGTTGAAGGCAGGAAGACACCGTAAGTTCAATATCGTATGGAGAAAACAAACATCATCTGCCTTATGTCGTTGGGATGTATATATTCCCGTTTACTCTACTCGTATGCAAATGTGGAAGGTATGGTTGGATTAATGTGAGCCAAGTTGGAATATCTCAGGTGCCTGGTGAAAAATGCTGGTCCTGTTCAAAACCAGCCGAGAAGATTGTGTTCAGGTACTCATTTCAATGTTTTGTATTTGCCATTCTCTCGTCGAAAGATGTAGTACTCTTTCGCACTCAAAGTACTCAAAAATGTAGAACTAGAGATAACATTATCAGAAACACCGTTTTAAAAGAACGTGGTAGAGTGAGGTGGAGATCCACACAAGATCACACCTGAACCACACGCAGAAGCTGAATGATAATACGAAAGTAGGCAGATCACATGCTCAGCTCCATGGAAACCAGAGGCCACACAAGTATACACGCAGGGGCCTACCCTCGGATAGAAATCAGGATCGGGCAAAGGAAAAAGGGACTAGACGCGTAGCCTTCAGGATATGCTGTGGTGATCACTCGGAAAGCGTGGGTAACGCCCGTTTTATACGTACCGTTAGATTCCTGTTCGCAGGAATCTAACATTCTTACTGGTCAAACATGTAGACCATACTCACAAAGCATACACACATACACACCAGAACATACCCAGTATTGGCCTCACACAAGCCACAACCAGCAGGAGCACGACGCAGACCAGCTGAGCCCCACGTCAGCGCCCGGGCTCAGCACCCTCGGCGACGCGACGGACACCCTACTTTCCCCGGGGAAATTATGGGTCGGATTCCGGCCTTCTCGACTCTTGTTTTACCTTCCCTGGCCTGGCCGGAAATGGAAATTCTTGGTGTTGCTTTGCTTCTTGTTTTAAGGGGAGCATGACGCCGAGTTTTGAAAGTGAAAGATCTGCGTAAAAAGGCGTTTCTCCTCTTTCAATGCGGATTATTTGAATGAAGCAGTATCGGAACCTTACATACCACTCGGAATAGAAACAAACATACAAGCAACACGAAATTCCGCGGTGGGGAGAGGAAAAAGAAAAATCCCTGGCAAATCATCGGCGAAATCCCAGCCCTATGCAAAATTCGAAAATTGGAAAGCCATCTCGGTGTGGCCAAGCGAGAGCAAAAGCCAGAAAGCCTGGAGGAGCGGACGAGGTTGCCGGCCTCGCGTTCGAACCGCTGCCGGCCCCGCGAACCGGCTCTTTGTTCGGCGCGAACGGCTGCTTATATTATTCGGATCTGTGTGGGAATTCATGTCGAACAAATTGCAAATAGAACTACGAAGAAAAGAATATGCCTGTTCATAATCGTATTCGTGTGTTTTCTTATTCTTTCCCTCGTTGTTCTGTTTGCATTAGGATCTGTGTTTGCACGTACGAAAGGGAGGGGAAGAGGAGGGAGGCGAGAGAGGGAGAGAGAGAGAGAGAGAGAGAGAGGAAGGAGAGGGCGATGGATATAGAAGAAGAGAGACGAAAAGGATTAGGAAGAGGATGAGGAATGGGAAGAGAGTGAGGAAGAGAGGGCGTGGGAAGAATAGGTGAAAGCCTAGAATCTGGAGAAATCAAATAGAAAGGAAAAGAGTAACAAATGTGAGAGTAAAAGAATGAATACCGACAACTTTTTTTACTTGGAGTTCTGAATCTACATTTCTTTGCTCTAGGCTCAGTAGGAACACCTTTCCCAATAAACGTTAGTTTTTTCCCAGATACAATCCGAATACAGGTACACCTTCAATATTGCTAAACCGCCTCTTAGAAATTGTCTCAACAAAGCTCTTTCTTTTGAATAAAAATGTTCATACCCTTTCGGAATTATGAAGTTTATGCCTTTCGCTCCGGCGTCGGCTTTAAGGAACGAGCGTGTGGACCCAAGCGCGGTGTCCAGTGTTATGAGTGTGACCATGTAGCCAAGAGTGATGGCCGCCGTTACACCTTATCTACCGTTGTATTTTTCGGTGTACTTCGCGTATCGATTTCAGTTGACAGACGTGTACTGATATCCTTGAACATATCTTGTACTTGGTTTTACTGAAGGGAAACTATTCTTGTTGGAAAATGTAGAAAGCTTGGGAGATTATCATGTGAATTGTACATGGACATTGCAACTACCAGGGTGGAACCTTGCTAACATCTTCATACCTATCTATCCATCCATCCATATATATATCTGTCTACCTACCTACCAGTCTATCCATTTATTTTTTTGTTTATATATCTGCGAAGTTACACACACACACACACACACACACACACACACACACACACACACACACACACACACACACACACACACACACTCACACACACACGTGCATATGCATATAGATAGATAGGTAGATTATAGGTTAAATCCGGCCGCCCTTTAAAAAAGAAAGTCCCCCGCACAGCACACAGGTAAATAAGCCAAACTGCGAACTCGAATTTTACAAAATCGTTTCTGGAAAATGAAGTTTTGAGATAAGCACTTCACTGGAGGGGAAGGGGGAGGAGGCCGGGCGGGCCGTCTGGAGATCAACTTTAGGTGGCACTCCAAGGCTCTCGGGAGGAGGGCCAGGGGAGGGCAGGGGAGGAGGGAGGGGAGGATAGGTGCAGGGAAGGGCATGCAGGGCAGGGAGAGGTAGGGAGGGGCATGGAGGACAGGGTAGGACAGGGAGGGGCTCGAAAGCAGGGCGTAAGTGCCACCTTCTACCTTCGCATACGCCACTCATACCGTGGACCTGCATACGGCATTATCCCCCTGCCGTGACCCTGCATACAGCAACGCCTCCTCTACTAGCACTGCTGCTGTTTGTCAGGGTGGAGGCGGTAATGCTGGCCAGGGTGGAGGCGGTAATGCTGGCCAGGGTGGAGGCGGTAATGCTGGCCAGGGTGGAGGCGGTAATGCTGGCCAGGG